CCGGGAATGCACCGCCACGTGGCGTCTCCAGAATTTCGAAAGTCGCTCCCCTGCGGCCGCCACGTGGCTTCAAAGCTGCGCGTCCGCGGACTTGGCCGCGGTTATCCGCCGCCGAGGGGGATTCATAGTTGTCGACCCCCGGCTGCGGGACCCCGGCGGGGTTCCGGGGGTGTGGGGGTGGGCACCTGGGACCCCGGCCCCGGTAGGGGGACAAAAAGTTCAAAAAAAACAAATCAAAAACAAATTAAAAAAAAAAAAAAAACTGGGGGATGGCCACCGCCGCCATGCAGCCCCTGGCATTTTCTGGTTCGTGCAGAAAATGCCCCGACATGGGGTCCCCCCCGGGGCCGTGGAACCCCCTTGGCGGGTGCGGGGACGGGTTGGCAGGCGGTGGTCCCGGGGTTGTGGAGCCGGTGCAGCGGGGGCGGGGGTAGGTTGTGGGGCAGTGGGGTTGCAGGGACCGGGGGTCGCGGGGTTCGGCATTCGCCGGGGCCGGGGGTAATTGGCAGGGTGCGCCAGCGGGGTCCCGCCAGGGATGGGTGGCGGGCCGGGGGTCGGGGGCAGGGTCGAAGTGCGGGGTTAGGGGCCCAGGGGCGGGGTGTCTGGTGCGGGGCCGGGATGACGGGGCGGGGTGCGGGGCCCAGGGGTAGGGTGTCTGCATGCGGGGTCGGGGTGACAAGGCGGGGTGCGGGGCCCAGGTGCGGGGTGTCTGGTCACTCTAGTGCAGGGCCGGGGTGACGGCGCGGGGGGTGGGGGGCCCTGGGGGCACTGGGCACCCTGTGGGGATGGTGGATAGGGCCAGGGCCAGTTGTTGGGGTGACTGGTGCGGCCGCTGCTGGGAGCGGGGTGTCGTCACTGTCGTGGTTGTGGGCCTTGTGGGAAGTTGTGACCCTTGTGGGAACTTGTGGCCCATTGTGGGGGCCGAGTCCGGCCGACGGTGAGGGGCCCTCTCCCCGGAGGTGGGGAGGGGGGCGCGCGTTGCGGGTCGGGGACTTGTGGACGTGGCCCGGGTGGCCCGGATAGCCGGGATAAAGACCATGCGGGGTGATGGGCCTAACAACGCCATGGGTTGGTGAACTTGGTGTCACTTGCTGAAGCGGGGCACTGCAATCTGCAGTCCCTGCAGGGCCGTGGCCCCTGGGGTGGGGGTCCTTGGGGCACTGGCCGCACTGCGGTCTGCACAACTCTGCAGGCCCTGCAGGCTGCATGGCCCTGGGCCCTGGCCCCTGCGGATAGGGGATCATAGGGCCCAGGCCCTGCGTAAGCAGTGCAATAACTTACCAATAAGTTAGTAATAACTTAATCCCAGCTAGTAGCGCCGTCATGTCGTGGTACCACTGGTACGGGGCGGTTGGTGAACTTGGTGTTGCCGTTGTTGCAGCTGTTGCATGAACTTGCCTCTGGTGCAAGGGGGGGCGGGGGTAGTTGGTGGTGTGGGGGTCAGGGGGACGGCAAGTCTACAACCGATGTACACCGTACATTGAGGGCCTTTGAGGCCTTTTTTTCTGTGCTCAGTATAATGGACTACTAAAGTCAACTAAACATTGCACTGCATCCACCGCTGATTCGGTGCTGAAAAAAAAAAAGAAACAAGAATAGATAACAGTAAACATTGCACCATTTCCATTTGCAATTTTGCACTGATTTACAAAAAAAAAAATACTCGCAACTTCGCAAGACACAAGTTGAAAACATTCGCGCAACTGTATGCCGAACTTTTTTGAACTTGGTTGTTTGTCAATTTTCATATTTTCACCAACACTCACACGCAGACAATCTCACACATGCCCATTCATGCCGCACACACTTAAGAAGGAGGGGAGAGGACACAAAGTACACAATGCACACAGACAGAGTAAGCAGTAGAAAGTTTCGGAAACCACTTTGCATAGGTGTGGAGATAACACTGGGTGTTTGAACAGTGTTTCTCACTATCTGACAGTACTCCCAAGTCTCAAGAGTCCCAACAACCGATCACAATAAGATACCAGCGAGGGCAACAAAAGAACAGTACAAGATTGAGATGATGTGAACCAATATCGCTATGGCCTCTGCCTGCCCGGCTATAGGCTCTCATGCTACGGGCCTAGGCCACAGGGCCTCCCGTCCTAGTGATAGCCCGGGCCTGCTTTTCAAACAATGCAGGTCCTCTCTCTCTCCCTCTCTCTCTCTCTCCGTATATATATATATATTTATATATATATATGTATATATATATATATATATGTATATATATATATATGTATATATATATATATATATGTATATATATATCCGAATGTCCGTCTCTTCGCGGCCGATTGATGAACCGTGTGTCGCTTGAAGTGTGACCTGCATTTAGCGCAGCAGCCGCTGCGCCTGAGCTCGCCGATCAATGGGGGAAGGAATCGTTGCAGATGGTGTGCCCTGCGACTGCTGCCCATCTGGCCCGAGTCGTGCCCTCCGTCTCACTCATCGCCCTCCTCCACCATCTCCGTCCGTCGCCCGTGCTTTAGGCATGTAATCGGAGTCCCCGACATCGTCAGTGCCTGTGGTCTCTCCAAGGGCTACATCCGTGCTGTCGTCGTGGACGATTAGCACACTGTCGCGTCTCTTCTCACCCGCCACTACATCCCCTGCACCCTCTCTGCCGACACGGTCCGTCGTCGTTGCAACCCTCCCTCCAACATCCAATGCATCGCCGTCGGGTGCAATCTCTCCGTCCTCGAGATGCAGAGGGTCGGATCGCGTAAGATGGGAACGCATATGCGGCGATGAACGTGGCGCCTTCCTTGTCGAGGCCTTCTTCCTTGCCCGAGAAAGACTCGCCTTCGCGGCCCTCGTAGCCTGCACATTAAATGTCTTCGTCGGCAAAGCAGTCCCCTGTCGGGCCTCGTACTCTGTCATGGCGGTGTGGCGAGCACCATCGACAGTCCCGATGGATCGTGTCCCCATAGGGAGTGCGGATGGCTTGCCCACAATCCGAGTTCCCTTCTTGTCCAATCGAGAGAAGGTTAACAAGAGTCATATTTTTCATTACCACTTCAGGATACCCTTCACCACTTCAGCCTGCTTAACAGGTGGTTTTCAGGGTCTGTGGACCTTTCATCACTTCAGGACCATTCAGGTCTGAAAATCATGAATGGTCTTGAAGTGGTGAAAGCTTCGAAGACCCTGAAAACCACCTGTTTACGCAGGTTACATCCTCAAGTGGTGAAGGGTGGTTTTCATGGTCTTCAGACCTTTCACCACTTCAGGACCATTCAGGATTTTCAGACTGCCCAAAACTCTCACTTGACCACTTCAGGACACCCTTCACCACTTCAGGATACAGCCTGCCGAAACAGGTGGTTTTCAGGGTTCTCGGACCTTTCACCACTGCAAGACCATTCTGGATTTTCAGACTGCCCAAAACTCTCACTTCAAAATTTTCATTCTTGAATTTTCAGCTCCCCGATAACCGCTTGTGGTCCAACCCCCGACTGGTTGTCCCGCTGGTATAGAATGCCACTGCCGGCAAAACAGTAGCTTTCTCGCGCCACGTTGTCGCCGATGACCCCACCACAGACTGTTATGTCGCGTCGGTGGTGTTCGTAGCGGGAACGCCAGCAACTGCGCCGGTAGTCGCGCTGATGAATTGATGCTCTGAGTCTGACGGCGGACGCGAAGGTCTTGCTGCTCTTTCGACTGCGGCGAATGCAGCAAAACCACCATCCTCCGCGTCATCGAACGAATCGGACAAACTACGTTGTGCGATGCTGCGGTGACCGTCGTGGAGGTGTCGCGTCGCCGTCTCGTCCATACCGAGGTCTACGTCGTGAGGTCTGCCAACACGGAAAACTGTGGGCATGGCAGACACCGTTGGGCACACCGTGATTGTATCGCCTCCAAACTCATCAAACGCGTCTGGCCCTCGCTCTATGGCGACAGGCTGATGTGGGTTGGGCGGTGACACGTGGGGTAGACCAGGAAATATCAAAGTCGCTAAGGCCAGGAGAGAGACGAGCACCGAGTCCATGGCCGATAACTCTCCGGTACCCGGAAGACTGTCGGTGGGGCATGCGAGACCGACATGGCCTGCGACGCTCTTCTCGGGTGCTGGAGTGTGTGAGATCTCCCCTTTCGGGAGATCAGCGTCTGGATACGCAACAACAGTCCCCTCCACCAATGCAGGTGGTGGCCGCGATACGGTGTCGTATGCATGGGGTCCATGTGTGTCTGATTGCGACATAGCAACCACCTCCCTGCGTACGTCAAGTTGAACTGCATGACCGTTGCGAAGTGGGAGCATTCTCTCCTGCTCCGCCGCTGGAGGTGGTCGCCGCACGTCTGAAGTCACCGCAGTTGAGACTAACGGTCCGCCAGGAGATGTGAGTGGCTGCAGTGCAGCAGCACAACCCTGTTGCGATTCTAAGATTGTTGCGGAAGACCCTGTCGGAGTTGTCGCGTGCATAGTCTGAGTATCATTTTGCGCCTGGCCACTCCCATCATCTTGCTCGATCCGCTCCTCTTCAGCGTCATCACTGAAAGAGTCCTCAGAAACTGGAATCTGCTCAATTGCAGGGACTCGCAGTTGTGGAACGCCTGCAACCCCACCATGACGTTTGCGCACACGTGAAACGATAGTGTCTCCTTCCCTTGGTCCACGTTTCAAGCGCTTCAGGGCACCGCCCAGAATAGGTCTTGCACCGTCATCATCCGCTCCATCTCCAACATTATCCGAAACTGCGAGGTGCTCGCCTCCAGCCCCGTCGCCGCACATGGTGTCATCATCTCCAGGTCTCGATCCCCCTGCACCGCTCCGTGCATCAGCGTCAACCTCATCGAGATAATGTCTTGCTTCCTTGCCAGACCCTCTGTCAACGTCTCTGCGTGTTGAGCAGGGTCGATCTCCTCCATCACCGCGATCATCGCCTCCGGCACCATCGTCGTCATCTACGTCTAGGTGGTGGTCGTCGACATCGTTGTCGTCGTCCTATGCAGGCGCGCCAGTCTCGAAGAAATTATCATCGTCACTGGACGAGCTCTCGTACAAGAAATCTCCCTCGTCCCATCGCTGTCGAGGCTTGCGCACAAGCTCGTCCGCCGTCATTCGACGACCCGCGATAGTCCTCCTCCCGCCAGGACCTCCACTCGTGCCTCGCCCAAGACCTCCCCGACGACCACCTCTGCGACCCCCACCAGAACGCCTCCTCCTGTCAGACTCCCGCAATCGACGAGTGGCTCCCATGCGGAACACGGCGAGCATCCTCTCTCTCGCTTGCATCAGCTCCTCCTACGTCACCGTCGCACGGGCTCCTCGGCCTGAGCCAAGCTGCAGGTCAGTGGGCACCTCGTCCTCCACTTGGTGCCAATAGTGCACCCAACTCCCATACGGATGCGGCCTGTCATTGGGAGCATCATCCGACATAGCCTGCCTTTCAAGAAGCCGAAGGTTCCAGTGGCATCGCACGAGCTTCTCGGTCCGTGTCACCTCCAACATGTTACGGGATTTGGAGTGGATGAAGCTCCAGCGCGACCAGGTTCTCTCGCAAGGTAATGCGGTCGGCCATACGTGTAGTATTCTGCCGACGAAGAAGGCCGTGTGCGGGAACCTCTTCTCCTTCGACTCCCAGAAACTAGCTGGATGGGGATAGCTCCACGCCGCCTGATCCATGGCCACATCGTCGAATGGCGGCTCCCTAGCATGAAACTTGTCAATGTCAGTCAGAACCTCGATGTGCTGGGCCGAGCCCTCTGGGTACCCGAATTGAACCAGAGCAACTTTCAAACCGTGCTGCATCTCATCGTCGTCTCGCATCGTGCGCTCTCGAAACTCGGGATCCAACATCATGGCAGCAACATGAGTCGGTGACTTGAACATAGTGCGGCGTCTGTCAAAGACTTTGAGCACTGCGTCCTGCTCGTCCTTGTCAAAAGCAGCACATGCAGACAAACAACGCACGATCATTTCGTCGTACCGATGCAAAATCTTGTCAATCTGCCTCGTGTCGCTGTCCACCATCTGCAGCATATCCATGATGGGATCCAACACTTTGCACACCGCTCTCATATCCTCCCACCACTGAGGACAACCGACATATACTGTGACCTCCGTGGTATCGTCTCGACTCTCGAATCTTCTTCGTTGACCAAACAGTGTCCTTCCATTGATCATCACCGACCACCTGCATGAGATGCGCATGCAGTTGAAGAAGTGGCCGCATCATAATGACGTGGGTGCCGAAGCGAGTCTCGACGGAAAGCAACAGTGCTATCGTCGTGAAAACTTGCAAAACGTCGCGAGCATGAATGTGGCGCTTGAAAAACTTTGTGACCACCCGCGCCTGAGCAATGCTATGACATCGATCTACCGACTTCTGCCACATATGACCCTCATATGAGGCCCCCTTTTATCTCTAATGAAGAGATGGTCACCCCTTACTATATAGTGGTCTCTCATGCGAAGAGGTTTTTCACTAACTTCTCTTTCTCGCTAGTCGCCGGAGAGAAGAAGTCTCATTTCTATATGAAACCCGTCATATTCTTCTTCCCGAAAATCTTTCGAGATCTCACCCTACTCAAACTCCTCTCCTTCTATCTCCTCACTAAACCTAGGGTCGTCTCCCAACACTATCTCATCTTCCTTTACTATCTCTCTTTCATTCTGAGTCTTCTTCAACGAAAGGTTTCAACACCAACCTTTCGATCTTTACAAAAGTTGCAGGCGCAAACCACATGGGCGTTCCTCTCCTCGCTTCCTTATCATTGTCACTTAGCTCTCATTTGTTTACATGGAGTTGCATATCGTCTCCGTTCAGGAACCCATCTAATGATGACGTTTCTTCCTTCGCCTCTCCAGACTTGATCCATTTTATCCTGCTTAACCCATCAGGCATGTTCTTGTTCCCTGGGATACGCTCCAACTGAAAATCGAACATCCAGATGTATGTGAGTCATTTTGCGATTGTATGATCCGTGGGTGAAAAATTCTTGAGGGAATGCATAAGGGCAGTTGGATCTATCCGTAGGATAAATCTTCTCCCGTAGAGGTAGTGTCTAAAGACACGTACGCAGTGTAGCACTGTCAATGCCTCCTTTTTGAACTGGGAGTAGTTTCGCTCATCAGTATTGAGGGGGCGGTTTTTAAAACGCAAAGGTTTTTCCTTACCTTCAATATCTGCCTGTATCAAAACTCCTCCTAAGGCAGTGGTTCTGACATCAGTTTCTATGATGAAGGTTTGCTCTATAATGGCTTCATAGTCTGGGACCTCCAACACAAGACCTCCTTCCTCAGATTTCTTTTTCAAACTCTTTACCACTTGTTCCTACTTCTCTCCTCATTCTCATTCCTGATTCTTCCTTACCAACTTTGTCACGTGCTCAGTCTTAGTAGCAAACCTCTCGATGAATATCCTCCAGAACCCGCATGTTCGAAGGAAATATCTCACCTCACTTATGTTCCTAAATGACGTCGGTCACTCAAGAATTTTATTCGTTTTTTCAGTATTTGGACGACGTCCTTGCTTGTTGCATACAAAACCCAATATGGTGGTCTCTCTAATGCAGTGTCTGGACTTAGCTCAGCTTGCCGTGAGGTTATATTCTTGTAACAGATCAAGCACCTTTCTGAAATCATTGACATGATCTCAGACAAACTTCCTTATGTCAGATGCAACCTCTTGTTCATCTTTCACCATTGGGCCTTTCACTGCAAGATCGTCGATATATGGCTAAGTAATCTGCGAACTGATTGGCTGCATTACTCTGACCATACTTCTTTGTATCAGGGCTACCGCATTTGTCCATCCTTGGGATACCACATTCATATGGATTAGTCTCCTTGGAGTGTGCATTGCAGTTATTGGTCTATTGGCAAGATAATAGATCTTCCTGCACATGCTTCAGAGAGCTGATCAGCGTTGAGGAGTCCTCTAACATCCCTAACCGTCACAGCATTCAGTCTTTGTAAATCTTGCAGCCACCTGAGTACCCCATTTGGCTTAATGAAACAGAACCAAGGTGAGGCATAAGACCCCCTAGAAAAACCTATCACATGAGAGTCAATCTTTCCATCAAGGTAATCCACTACTCTCCTATGATCATCGGGGTCTGGGTACCTGACCCCTCTAATGTTCCAAGGTTGGTGCGGAACCGTGTGGATTCGGATCATCCCTACCTTGTCCACATCCAGTCTCCCTCTCTGCTCATCGTTAAAGGCATAGGCGCAATGTTTTTCTTTCATTAAGTCGATCACTAACGTTTTTTCCTGCTTGGTCAAAAACTCAGGTTCCTCAATGATCAAGTTTTTTTTAGTCTCCTTGTCAATACGACAGGATTCAGTTTCTCATTTATCTCTCATCTGCCTTATCAAATCCCTCTCTTGCTCATAATATACTCCTTCATGCGTTGTTAAGACCGGAACCGGGTGACTCGTCTTGTCTACTGTTTTTTACCTTCTTTTTCCTCCTTGCTTGAGTCCACCCTTAAAAAATGCTAGCCGCTAGCCTGAATAAACGGACCCTGCATTCTTTCTTCTCCAGGGAGTGGTTTGTATATCAAATTCATTCTCCCTCCTAATCATACAATTTGTTAGCTAATGCCCAAATTGCCTCTGGTTCCGCCATCTCATAAGTGGAGACCATGTACATAGTTTGGTCAATGTTAGCTAAGCTCTATGCTAACCCCTCATTCTTTTCTTCCTCATCCTCCTCATTTGACCCCCATTCTAGTTTTTTCCTTCTATCCTCAGATTCCTCAAAGTTATATGACCCAAGATTGAGGCGGTTTTTCGAACTGTGGGGACCTGTATTTTTACAAGTAATGACTTCGAAGTTTCCATACACATGATCACATAAGATTACGAACATGGTCTCGTCATGCTTGTTCATAATGAGGGTCTCTGATCGTGACAAGAAGGACCTTCCTAATAATATGGGAAGATTCAGGCTAGGCATGATGTAGAAGCATGAACGAACCCTAACTTGCCGTACTTCCACAATCACGTTTGATGCAATACCCATGTACCCTGACTTTCCACAGATCCTAATGAGATATTCACAATCTCTCCTATCGATTTTCAACCCTAGTCTTTCGGCCGTTTCTGAATTCATAATGTTCATTTCTGCTCCAGTATCCACCATCCAGGGCATCCTTTTCCTCTAATATTGACATCAATGGACCCAGTCCCTACAGACTTTCAGTCCATCTTGCTTCCAACAATTGTCCAATTTGTTTCCTTGGGAATTTAATCTCACAATCGTACCGTCGCTACCCTCTTCCGTGCCAATTTTGCTTTTGCTAATTCTTTGAGTTTTTGTGTTATTGCCAAAATCACCTTCATATTCAACAACGCGTTATGTCCCTCAAGGAGTTTGTTTACTAAATTTTCCAGATCCACTCCTTCTTCAATTGACGTCTGGTATCTCCACTTTTCCTTTGACTTCTCCCCAGTCTTTTCCTTTCCTTCCTCAATATCCTACTTACGTTTCTTGGCTATCTGTTCGGCGCGTTTGTCGTCTTCTCCCCTGAGTAATCCATCTTGATATTCCTCATCTTCTTCTATATCAATAGAGGCCTCACCCTTAGGCGGCAAAGGAGCCTGAGCTGGTTCCTTGGACGCACTTCCTCCTTTAGGCTTTTGGGCAGTATGAGGAACAAAATTTCGAAGAGTTTGGTAGGCTGCATCTGACCCAGCAGCCAGAGTTGCTCTCAGAGCCTCGGGGTTGGGTGCTCTCAACTCATCATTCTCTTTTTCCTGACTCATAGTGAACACGTGTGGGATTCTCATTTCTAGATCTTTCACTTCATCGCAAATACTAGTCATTTTTATGTTTAATCATTCATCTTATATATCATGTCCTCCATCCTTCCTATGGTTTCTCTTGCTGATTCTCTACTTACTTTGTCTTCCTCAGGTTCCATTTCAATCAAGGGGGACATTTTTTCCTGCCTCATTTATCCTCACTCCCTTTCGTAGCTGGTCACTCAGCTCGCCAACTTTTTTCACCAAAAACAATCGGGTCTTCTTTCTCTTGCCATATACGAAACATGGCTGGGGCACTCGGTTTAAGCCCCGCAACCCCGAGTGCTTCCTTCCTTGTACCCCCGGGGATATTCGGGTCAATCAACCTTCCTCGTTTACCGAATATATCTTCATCTATGCTTGATGTGGTTACCCCATCCTCCTCATCCATCCTTCAAACATGACGTTTTTTCACTATATGCCCTTTTATCATACAATGCGTACATATGCACTCACTGTAATCTATCCACCCCCTTCCAGACCCTTGACCACTCCATTGTCCAACATTCCTACAAAAACCCCTACCATAGTTTTTGTTATAGCTCTGACCATAACCTTGACCATAACCTTGATTGTATTATTGTCCAATCTTATTGGAACTCACCTGATTGTAATTTCCAGATTGAGCTCCTCCTTGATTGCTCCAATTTCCTCCTTGTCCGCCGTTTCCTCTTCCTCTGAATCCTCTTCCTCCTTAACCATTTCCTCGCCCTCCATTCCTACCTCTTTCATGCCCCAGTCCGTGTCCTTGCCCTTTGAACTGATGTTGCCCTTGATTACCCTGTGGTGGCAGAGCGTGTTGTGTCTGACTCGGATCCGCCCCTTGGCCTTGTGATGGGTCTGCCCTAGCTTCTTGCATTTGGGACAAATTCGGGTATATCCCTACCTTCCCAAGACTCGGCCATTGATTCCCGGAGAAATATCCAGACCAAACCCCCATAGGAGCCACGGCCGGCCATGGTCCAAATTGGGACGCCAGAGTTGGCACTCCCAGAGCACTCGGTACCACCGGTTGCTGCGAGTTATGCCTCTTTTCAACCCCTTGTTTCCTCGATGTCTGGTTTTGGTTTTGCTTTTGAGTTTTCTTATATTGTACTATCGGTTCGGATTTCTTCCCTTCTTTATCTCCTTCATCTTCCTTTCCATACCTCCTTTTGTTTGTTGCTTGTCCAACTACCATCACCTTTCCTGACTCCACTTTATCCTTTAATTCTTTTAGTTGCGTTACCATACTGGTTATCATTCCTTCTAGAGTTGACTCTGCTCCTTGGATGACACCTACCTCCTTCCTTCTCTTCCTTTCCATCTTTACTTGATGGTGTAATACCTGGTCCAAGTCACCAGATGCAAAGTTTCTTTTTATTGTCTCCCATGACGTTTTTCTCTCAGGTGTTCCTCCATGGATCAGTTCCATAGTCTCATAGCCCGAGAATTTCCCCCAAAATATTACACACTGCATTTCCTCGAAAAGCCCCGAAACGCGTTTTGCCATCTTTTCAAAGGTTGTTGCAAATGCCCCCATTGTATTGAAGTCATTCCGGTTGACGTTGTGGAGCTGGTCAATCGTTAATAATCCATCTCCCAACTTATACTTCCTGTGCATCTCCTTTTTTAAATTGTTTCAGTTTCCCTGGCATCGGTCACAATCTTTTCGATTTCGGGGCGGAACTCCCATCACACATACTCAAACAGTTGAGCGAATTTTTTTGCTGGCGTCAGTCGATTGAAGACTTATTCCAGTAATTAAAGTCAGTGCGACACTCGCTCTCCTTTGGAGGGAAAAATCTCTTTCCTGGGTAGTTGAGGTCTCTTGACATTCCTATTATCTAATAATCGCACGATCTCGGCAGCGGTTATGGACCGTTGTCCTTTGGTCCCATTTGCGTCTCCGATTCTTCCCACAGTCCTTAGTCAATCTATTTTGCACATGCAAAAAAAACAATGTGTTTTTAGGTTATTCTTTGTTGTCTTACTCTTCTCCCTTTTTAGGTTTTAAACCTAGGCTTTCTCACTTTCCCCAATATACCATCCAACCCCCTTTTTCACTCATAGTCCTTCTTATTCTTCATGACTTCCTATCAACTGGCACCTACTAGTTTCCTTAGTTCACATGCTCTAATCAATAACCTTATCATGCTTAAATATCCGAGCCGACCTCTCTGTCACTTGACCAAAACGGGACTGAATCTAACCTTTTGTCTAAGTAAACTTGGATACCTTTACCATCCCACCCTTCCAACTTCTTCAGTGGACATCCAATCTCCCGTCGAAGAGTCATACACCATTCTGAACATTATAGGGATACGTCAATGCAAGTCTTGATTTTTGGCTCAGCCTTAAGCTTTTCCCAATACGTCTACCTTGACTCCATAAAATGAATGCGGACATAAGCGTCCACCGTTGAAAAAAATTCCTCAAAACCCCTGTTAACCAGATCCGGTCTCATTTCCAAATACAGGCAATAAAAAGTCTGAGGTGTGAAAAATTTGCATCCTCTCTGAGGAATGGCTAGGGTTGTCAAGGCTGCCTGTTCCACATTCACGCAGCCTAATGATGAAGTCCGGAAGAGTAGCCTCTATATAGTCAGTGGGATATACAAAGTCTGAAGCCCATCTAGCTTCTATCATTGGTAGGATCGACCGAAATTCTCCCCAACTCGCCTCTTTAATTTTATCCTCAAGGACTGCCCCTGTAATTAAGATATATCGCGACAGGGGTTGACTATGTCCTACTGCCAGGTCCACCCCATGCATCCTCCACAGACGTGATGAAAGGTACAAGGTTGCTCGTACTATTATACCATCTTTGTTTGGAATGTGTCCAATTTCTACCCATACAAACGCTTCGGGCCCAATCGAGGCGCCCCACCATGCGGCGATTTCCTCCTCCCTTTCACTTAGGCCCCGAGGTAATAACATCTTCAGCCCCTAACGAGTACAAACGGGTAGCTCAACTCCAAATCTTTGTCTGACATATGACATCTTGAATGTCTCTTGGTATCCTGAGCGATACAAAGGAAGAGACGAAAAGGGGACACACACAAAAATCTATGTGTAAGTTCGATCAATGACGACATATCGCTTCTTATTACGATTCCTAACTTTCTTAACCCTGCTACATACATTCTATCTCTTCATACTCTATCCTTCTCCAGAAATCCTTTATCCCTCGACAAAAAATGGACAAGCGTCATTCTTTAGTTTTCACTTTTTGCACTTCATGTCATTATATTATCTAAGTATCATACCTTATTACTCTCATAATATAAATCCTCTTCCTCCCTTTTCCTATTTCCTCTCGCCGTTACCCTAGTCACCTAATCCAATGTTATAATAGGAATACGCAAACTTCCTCCTTCAACTTTTCCAATGCTCAATTATTTTCCTCCATGCATCGGTGACGGGATAACTATTTAATATATGGTTCCCGACTTCTCTTAGGGATTCTTGCTGACACTTCCTCGTTGTCTCCTTCCCCATATTCTCAGAGCTTCTTCCAATACTTCAGCTAAACTTTGTTTCCCCCACTTTTTTCTTATTTGACTGTTATACTTAGCTTAGATTAAGAAGGAAATATAGATGTCGGGGTCAAATGCTTATCTTAAGGCGATCACCCCTATGTAGTTTCAATGCTCTTCACGATTCCAATTATTTCATACCTCAACCATCGTTATTCGGCATGATGGGGAGTGGCTTGAAACTCATCGTGATACTCTTATTCTCTTGTAAGATCATCTCCCTACTACTCAAGGTGATACAAAGCCTAAGATTTGTAGGTGCTACTTGAGATGTTATTGGAGGGTCGGGCACGTTAGGCAGCACAGGTGGAAGAGCAGGTCGAGGTAACTGGGGAAGAACAGTCAACTGTTGAAGCTGTCGTGCCATAGAAGAAGAGGGGGAAGGGTATGTCATTGGATAAGTACGGGAAGGCGGCTCAAAACGTGGTAGCGGAGATTCGTAATGTTGTTCGTACTTATAAGAGTAATAAGCCATTTTCCCCGGAGACGACGTTCGTTCGCGCAGATCTTCCTGATGTCGACGCAATCTTACTCTTTTTCACTTCTCCTCTTCCTCCTCTCTTTCTTCTCGCTCCTCTCTTTCCCTTGTCAAATCAATAGGTTTCTCTGCTACTTTCCCCTTCCGGCCACGTCTCCCCCTTCCAGTTCCTTCCCCACGCGGCATGATTGAAGGGATGAGGCACCTAAAGTAATGTCGAGCTTTTGATACTTATATTCAAAGATGCGCAGTTTTACATAAGAAAGAAGGCTTCGCAAGTATGCGTGGTTGTCGTCGGGGCGGAAAGCGTCACAATTAGAGAAAGATACCGTGGTAGAAACACTTCCCAGGCAGACTCAACGAGACTTGTCAAAACTTATAATGTTGATGGGTCCTTCTGCTATTCCTACCGACTTGCTCTTAAAAGTCTATGCAATCCTTCGTCGCTACCCTTTATGTCACCGTCTAACCAGATACGGGAGTAACTATTGCTTCGGGAAAACGATAAAAGGCAGACTAATATTCATAAGATACAATAGGCTATACACTACAACCTATGTAGCACCATGTTTGCGTTCGAAGGCGAATGCAGACATGTTCGCCCGAACGCGAACAAGCGCCCAAAACCCTCCGAACGCGAACATAAAAAATATTTAAAAAAACAAAAAACAAGTTCTCAGAAAAATATGAAAACAATATATGTTATGTAACATAACAATACAAGCAACTTTTGCATTGGAGTCATGGTCAAATTCGTAGCCAATCATGAGTTAAAAATAAAAAACCAAAAAATAGTTTTTTATTTTTTATTTTTTTCTTACGAAAAAAAAATTATGTTCGCCCGAACATGTTCGCAAGCTGTTCGTGCGAACACGTTCGCCCGAACATGAAGGGGCGCAAACAAGTTCGCCGTGCTACGCAGACTACAACTTGTACTTTGACCTATCTTATGAAAACTATCATAGACAAATGCTCATACCAATAGACCGACAATTGTCCTTAGTAGTCCTCTTACTATTTATATAAAAGTCGTACACTATCCTACCTTCCGTTTGTCGTTTTGTTGGGGCTTCAATTAACCAGACCCAGTTCCGTTCACATAGGACCCCAACAGGCAACCGAAGATCCCCGACAACGGCGCCACCTGTCGCGTGTGGTGATCACGCATCGTGTTGGGAAGCGCTGAACCTCACGGTTGTGTTACGCAGGATGTTTCTCCAGAGTTGTTGAAAAGAATCAGTCACCACTTCGACCATGCGCGCGTGCTATACCTCTCACGACGCCCCACGACAGGTCGGGGCGTCATGAGGTACACCTTACCTCTACCCAATGGGCAGTGACCACCTTTAGATAGGCGTATCCCTGTCGAGTTACCGGCCCACATGCGAAGGTTTTTACACGTCTTTGTAGAGGTAGGTCAGCCGAGGGCGTTTGTTCAATCGTTGTAGCACAGAAGGGGGTATGCATGGTAAGACGCCTAGAACTGACCTGCTTAATAGTTCAGGCACGGGGAGCTGATTTCCCCGTGCCGTCCCAAAAGTCAGGTCGGATTTTTTAGTATGGGCAATCTATCACGCGTAAGAAGATTAAGTTATTCGAATCTTTTAGCAACTAGGCCCTTAACCTTCACCTTAGTCTTAGAAACATCCTTAACCGCCCAGCAAAATAAACTTTGATAAACGAAGTTCTGATCGTAGCATCTTTCCGTTAAGATATCCTCTACTTTTACTTGAACCCTATTCACTTTAGCATCCACAAGATAATTGTATATTAGACAATATTAAGTATGAGGTATTACCGGTGAAAACACTTGT